CACAATGTGTGACATATATGTGTATGTATGTATGTATACACACATATATGTATAGAGAGATGTATGATATAAGGACTTAGGCCTTAGCACAGTGCTGATGACTCATGTGGAAGATATGGTAATATATATATATTTATTAATATGTATTATATTAATAATTTGTTAAAATTATTTAAAACTAACAAATATATGTACATATTTGTTAATTTCTTGATTTTCATATTGCCCTGACTGGTACAATAATGAACAAATAAACACAATTCTTGAGTACAGATCTGTCCCTGCTCAGCATAACAAGAAAATGAAACTCTCACATGCCGCCATGCAATTTCTCTGTTAACAGGTTTACATATTAGTTTTTAAAAATCCATCCAAATTTGCTACAAATCATTATTGAGAGAGAACCACAAAATGATATTTGATTGAAATTTATACTTCATTCTTTCAGTCAATAAATATTCCCAACAAGTTAGGAATGATTCTCTTCCACTATTTAGAAGGTATTTCCTGTGTGGAATCATCTGATTTCATTCAATTCATATGTAGTTCACACTTTTACCTGATTTCAAAAGAAGTTTCTAAGAATTATTCCCACCTTTATTTTTGATTCTGTAACTTGACCAAAGAGGCCTCTTACCTGTTAAGGGTTATCAGGGCAAAGAGCATCTGGTTAGTTTTATTAATTGAGGTATATATTGAAGTAATTAATAAAGATATAGATATATATACACATACGTATGTATGTGTGTATATCTATATACACTTTGTACCTTTCCATTCAGTTGTACACAAAGATACAGTCCACTGTAAATCTCTGCATAAGTCTGTTCCCTCTCCACGTTTTCACTGCATATACCCTTGATGCCTGTCCATAGAACAACCACTCCCTTCTGTTTGTCAAGATGTAGTCAATCTCATTTTTATTTTATCATTCTGTGATGACTATGTTCTGTGCTTTCTTGAAATAAGTGTTTATCATACATGGGTGTGAGGCTTCTGAATAAACCTCTGGTTTCTTATATTTCTTTTTGTTGTCCTCTGTGGCAACTTTCTCATTGAAGTTACCACATATCAAATATATGCTCACTTATTTTGGAGGATCTCATCAAGCTCTTCATATAATCTGTTTCTCCATTCTGTGCAAAGCAGGAAGGCACATAATTTGCTTCCACGAAAGTCCTACTCCAGTGTCTTGATGTAGTATAGAAATGAATCTAGGTAGAGTCTCACAGGCCATCAGAAAGCTTGAAAGGCTTTGAGGAAGAGCCCAGAAATGGACTTTTGTGTCCGTTTTCTAGGAATAAACTTAGTCATAGTTCAGCAGGGTTGGAAAAGAAGGATGAGACAGTTCTTAGATTGCCTACAAATCTTATTTAACATTAATTCTTTCATTATATTATCTGTGTCTAATAGCCAACAAATTGACATATTACTGGAGAAACTGAAGCTGAAACTGGAAGTCATAAAGAAGTTACAACTATTAAATAGTATAGCTTGTAGGTTTCTCCTTACAAAGGCCAATTGAGGAGTTGGTAGAGCTGATTTGATCATGCAGCCCACAAGCAACAACAACAAACAAATATCCACGGAGATCCTTGGGTCATGTGCCTTGTAGTGTGCTAGACTATAAGCATACAGGGCCACCATGAAGAAACTGCTCCTTAATTCCCTAAAAGTTTTTTAATCATAACACCAGTTAAACTAAGGGATGAAAAGCCCATTAACAGTTGGCCTATGAGATGGGGGGAACGGTCAGGCTTCCTAAAGATTCAAGGTTAGGCTTGGTCACAGTGGTAGAGTGCAAAAGTAAAGGAAGAAACTTTTTGGGTTTGGGGTTCAGCAGTGGAGGCTGTTCCTGTCTGTCTTGGTATTTTTTCAGGTACATAAGATTTTCCATTTCCTACCCCTTCTTTCTGAGCCAAGCAATAAATATAGCAGTTGTTCCCAGATGCAAATCTGGATGGCATGCTTACAGAGGTATTGATTTTTAAAAGTTGATTTGGCATTGATGTTTTTGTTTAGCCTATGAATTGGTTGATTGCAAACTTCTCTGAGGTTAAAGGAGTTCATCAGTGAACTCAATTTTTTCAGATTACACAGTACACAGGAAGTTCCTAATTTACAAAGGAGTTCTTCATCTGCAACTCAATGAGTTGGAATTTAGAATACATTTTTCTACAGAAGCTACTTTATAAACGTTGGGCAGAGTACTAAGCTGGTGCATAAATGTGATATATATCTGAATAACAGTACAACTATTTTTGTACAACTACAGTGGTAATAGTACTAGCACTATAATAAAATATTTTGGCCATTTTTGTAGTTTTTATAGTATCAGTAATGCATTTAGCATTAAAAATACTAATTTGGCCATCATTTCTCTGGGAAAAACCTCCTATCATGGCAAGAAATATACATTTCCGTATTCTGCAAAACTCACAATGCACAGAAAAGAGATAAGTCCATTAAAAAACAGCTCAGCAACTGTGAAAAGATAGAGGAGAAAAGAAGAGGCAACAACACTGGCTTTCCTCAAAAGACATTCTCACAAATAATAGCTAGGTAAAGCAACTATTTACATCAGCATTGGCAGGGGTTCCCTAAATGTATCTGGACAACTAGCACCACATGATTCGTGAAAAGCCCATAAAGTCTCTTTTTTTGGAAAGTGAAAACAAGGGATCAGCTAGGTGGCCCAGTGGATAGAGCACCAGGCCTGGAGTCAGGAGGACCTGAGTTCAAATCCGGCCTCAGACCAGACACTTGATACGTATCAGCTGTGTGACTCTGGGCAAGTCACTTAACACCAACTGCCTTACCAAAAATAAAAAAAAAAAAAGAAAGAAACAAGAAAGTGAAAACAAACACCTAAGTTAAAAAGTGTTCTTGCGGACAGATTACCAGCTAACAGCAAGAACAACAGAAAGCTAAGGATTTCCATTTATTATGTATGGAAAAAGAGTATTCTAATGACTTCCATAGTTGGGACTGTTTGTATCTCTTCCACAGCCAATTAGTCACAACTTGTACATATAATGTCTGTGGATGCCTTTGCCAAAGAAGGTGAAAGGTTGGAGGGGACTTCCAACTAAGATAGGGAAATAAATGGGAGTAAAATGATCCTACTATCATATTACTCTAACAAAGATTTTAAAGTGTATTCAACTGAGTAATGATCAGGAAGTCTAAGGAGAAACTACAATAAGTGCTTTTCCCAGCCCAGGTCCACACAAAGAGACAGCCAGAAGCCTTCTGGCACTCAGGAAGGGTTTCCAGCCAGAAAAGTCCAACCAAGGAGCTCTATACACAGAAGTCTTTTAGCACCCCAATGAAGGGTGATCCAGGGATATCTGAAGTTTGCAATGGTGTTTGAGGGGAGAGGAGGGGATGGGAAGAGACAAGGAGGAAGACCAGAGACTGGACCAGGTGAGCCAGAGACACCAGAAGCCTTGCTGACCTAGTCACCCCTGAAGTCCTTGAGAACACAGTGCTCGGTACCCAATGAAAGTAGTAGCAAGATAATAAAGACTAGGACCAAACAAGGTCCTACCATTCCTTCTAGAAGTGCACAGAGCCTGGCCTGGACACAAAGTACCAACTGAGGAAATATGGCTGCAAATATGAATAAAAGCAAAGGAAGAGATCAATATAAAGAATTATGGCTCTAGGGATGCCTAAAACACAATTCCAAAAGAAGGGAGTAACTCCTAAGCCTCAAACAAAAACATAGCCTAATCACAAGGTCTACTGAAATTCCTAGAAGAAATGAAGTAAGAATTTTTTTAAAAAGGATATTATAAATGAAATTTGAGCTCCAGAGAAAAAAAAGGGAAACAGGATAAATATCATAGAGTTCAGGAGTTGTAAGCTCTACTCATATTAATGGATTTCAGCTCAAAATTAGAATGAGCCAAACAGAAATCAGTGACTCCACGAGAACAAAAAATATTAGAACAAAATGACAGTATTGGAAGAATGCTTTTCTACTTATGGTTTATGAGCGAGAAAAAACTGTTTCTTGAAAGAAAGGAAAAAATATCTTAGGAGGAAAACAGAAGAAAAATAATCCAGGGAGGCAGAGAGGAATCCATCTCTGGTCAGGAGGGTGGATGGTGAAAAGATGTGACAAAGCGAAGAGGCCTTCTGAACCAGTGGAGCTATGGTAAAGATTTAAGGCTCTTCTCACAGAGGCAGGAAAACAGACCCTCTGTAAAGATGCCCATTCCCATTTCTTACAGAATGAGGATGTGTAACCATAAATATCAGAAGGGTATCCATTATTTGTTATGGGAGGAAGAGATTAATTCTGGCAGTTAAAAAGATGAACTTTAATAGGTATTTATTTAAAAAATCCAATGTATAATGGGGAGCCAGATTAGGCTAGATGACTGTTTTTGATAAAAAGATTGATAATTTTAATGAACTTCCAGTTTAATATGAGTCAATCATGTGATATGGAAGCCATATTTAAAAAAGAAACAGCAAATGTGATCTTAATCTACATTAATATAAGCATAATAGGCCATGTCTATGTTCAATTTTAAGAAATGGCATTTTAGGAAGAACACGGACAAGCTAAAGTACATACAATAGAGAGGAATGATAGCACCATGATAAAGGAACTCAAAACCATGCCACGTGATGACAGACCAAAGAAACCAGAGATGTTTAGTTTGAGGAAGAGAAGATTTGGTGGGGTAGGCTAACTGCCTTTAGAATATCGAAGACATACATAACATAGTGAGTAGATAAGGGCTTAGACTTCTCTTTGTTCCTTGATTTACAGAACTGGGTGGAAATGGTAGAAATATAGATTTTAGCATTATTTATAGGAAAACCTAATAATTAGAGCTGTTTAAAGTGAAATGGGTTGTTTTGTGAGGTGCTTAATTCCTCATCAGTGAAGGTTTTTGAGCTCAGATTAAATAGAAGCATGGTGTTTATTAACAATAACACTCACCCTCTACCCATCTCCCAATTCAAGCAGAACGACAACTTACAGGATTTGCTTTCGTTCCCAGCCCATCATAATATATAACTCCCAACTGGTAAACAGCTTGATGATCATTCTCCTGGATTTCTTCAAATTGATATAATGCCTCCTCATACCATCCCTATAAAAGTCCCAGAAAACATGCATATTATTATGTGTGTGTGTACATATATATATATATATGTATATATATATATATATATGTACACACACATGTATATATAAGCAAACACCCCACCCTAACACATGAAGAATATTTTTGGGAGGATTTGACAACATAATAATGACATATTGTATAACATATTATTACTATATTATGTAATATATATTATTATATATTATATGGACATTATATTGACAACATATAAAATAACAACAAATGACAATGACAACATAAGCCTGCATCAATTATAATCAGTGCACTGCAAAGTCAGCTATGAGTGTGGGGGGTGGGGATGGCTGATAACTAGGATGATTCTGGGTAGGTTTTCCATTTTTATTTTCTTCTATTCCTGCTGCCAGCTCTTTAGCCTTGAACCCAGTTTTAGTCATTAAGGTTACTTCATCTGGACTGTCATTTCATCCTTCTCACTTACTGTGGAAAATTTCAGAGCTGAGACCAAATTTCCTCCAAGAAATGTAATTAGCAAAAGAGCCAGAGTGCTGTCTTGACCACTTAATGCAGTTTGAACAAGATATTTTATGAATGAATGAAAGAGCACCTTATTTCACTGCACAATTGTCACAGATTTTATGACAATTTTTTTTTTTTTTGCAAAAAAAGTGAGGTGTGACCATTATGTGAAGATTAAAAAAAAACTGTGCTGGTATTACTTAAAAATCATTTATTACTAAACTATCTTTGGTACAAGATTAGGATGCATGGAATACTCATGAATACATCCATATCATGGAACTTACTCATGGCAGCTTCACCTGCCCACCCCCTCCCCCTGTGCTTTGGCTCTTCATTGGGTTGAGTGACAACACCATTAGTACCTCGATGCTCTGAACAGACCATACAAGTCGGCTTTTGGAAATATACTGACAATGCAAGTATGATGAGAATTCTAGACTCACACCTCACAATGCTCAAGAGATAAATGCATATCCATATGCCACTGGTGAATACATTGCTGCTCTGTTTACCTTTTAAGCAGTATAACAAACAGAATTATACCATGCAATGATTACTTGATGAAAGGTTATAAACCAATTTTTGGAATGAAAAAACAGGGTGCGACAATTATGCGGTGGCAACTATTCTGTGGTGAAATATAGGATTTATTAAATGTTTACTGTAATAATAATGATCACTCACATTTATACTGAACTTTCAGGTTTGCAAAGCACTTTACATGTTACTCTGTTAAGTCCTCACAACAGCCCTGTGAGGTAGGTGGTGTTGTTATCACTATTTTACAGTTGAGGAAACTGAGGCTTTGAGAGGTTAAGTGATTTATTGGCCCAGAGTCACACGGCTGAGAAGAGATTCAAACTGCGGTCTTCCTGAAGCCACGTCTAGCATTCTGCTGTGCCTCCTAGATGCCTCTAGCACATACACACATCTAGAAGGTTTTCAGCAGCCAGTCAGATGGAAAGTTCCCATGGTCTGCAGGGTATGGTGGCAAAACAGGTGGTAATCTTCTTTAATGTCACTTCCACTGATAGAACTATGTTTGTTTCTGGTACTGAACCATCTGACAGTGTCGAGGACTTTGGAGGTGATAACTTTCTTTTCCAAGTCTTCAGTAGCTGTTGTCTGCCTTCCTCACAGAGCAATTCTGTAGATTTTGACATTACAGATGTGAAAATGCTATGTAAACATAAAGTGGTGGTATTATTAAGAGCTCTGGCTCTAGCTTTATATTTGTGGAATGGGGAAAGAAGAGTAAAGGATAAGGGAAAGACATCAGGAAAGAGATCTTCCCATAGCGGGTTAATCAAACAAAGGTCAGTAAAATTCTGAACTAAGTATCATTCATGTATCCTTTCTGCTCTCCCTCCTCCCTGCCCAAATATTGCTGTTATCCAAATGCTTCCCTCCCAACTCCCCAACCCAACCAGGCTTTGCTCAAATTGAGTACAAAAAACCCCATGCTGGGGAATTCTCTCTCCCCTTCTGTTTCTTACCAAAACCCACCTGTTATTTGCCCTATTCTTCTAGGAGTCAATTTATTAAGAACTGACATTCACAATAAGGTATGAATGACTTATGTTAACATGCTACCCCTTTAAAGGGTAGATGCATTTCAACATGTGCAATAATTTATTCCAAAAGTATCTTTAGTAGTAGGACATCAGCTGAGAGTATTAAAGGAGGCATCTTCCTAGAACATCTCTAATTATACCACAGCATCAGTCACTCACAGGTTGTGCCAGCTTTAATCTAGTAAAAAGCAGCTTTCTTTAAACATAGATTTAGTGGTGAAGAGATGAAATCCTATTTTTTCCTAAGGGTACTTACATACTCTCTACCTCATAATATGACTATAAAAACTTCACTAAAAACAGAGATGTGTGGAAAACTAATTAAGATGCTACAATATAAAGAGCAACAAAAATCTACTTTCTTTTTAGGTTCAGGAAGAAAATAGTTTAAGAGAGAATATAACCTCATATTTTACTTTCTGTGTAATTTTTGGTGAGTAAAACAATGTTCCTCAAGGCATTTCTTGCTTCAACTCTGCAAGTTGCCCAGGTTTAGAATCCGAATCAGGGTCACACTTTTTTTTTTCCATTTAGAAAAGTCTTTATACTAACTACTCTATGAATCAGTATAAATTTCTCCTTTTGCTGGAAATGCTGCTTGCTGGTAATCAATACCTGGCCTCTTTTCCCCTGGGGCTTCTTGTTTTAACTAGCTATTTGCCTGTCTCACTACCACCACCTGCAAACACTAATTAATCAACAACTGGAGATAAAGCTTGAAGTTGATGATCAGACCGTAATATAATTTCTTTTCAAATTAATTCTAACTTTCATACCATGCCCTTAGCCATGGTGGGCCTAAGAAGTCTTAGCTCTTCCTTTTTAATCTACATTTCTTTCCCAAATATTATCTCATCCCCTAATTAATGATACCTTGATTCTAGTTCACAAGGGAGACCCTGCCATTAACTTTTTGAAAAATAGTTTATTGTTTTTGATTCCATGTCACTTTCCAATAACTCCCCTCCTAGAACCTTCCTTTGTAACAAAGAAAACAATTAAGCAAAACAAACCATTGAAACAACCGAGAATGTATAACATGCCTCATTAGGCACCACAGCCCACTACTGTTCTAGGAAGAGCAGTACTTTTCCTGGCTCCTTCATTTTTATCCATTCCAGGGAGATTCTCCATGGCCAAACCTCCCTCCCCCCCTCAAAAAAACATCACAGTTGTAGCTTCATACACAGATTCAGTAGATCCCATTCAGTGTGTCAACATTTCTCTGAGGCTTTAAGCTGAGGGTAAAGATTGTCTATTCATTTACACATAAAAATATAATCTCCCTGACCCCTGGAAAAGTATTTACTTTTATAGTTATTCACATTAATACTTTAATTTTTCTCTGTGTCTTGGGGAGACTGAATTTCTATTGCTCTCTTTAAAATGATTTCCTTTTCTCTTGTAGGTACAATTTGTTATACTCTATGTATATAGGTACTTACTCCCAAGGGAGGGGTTTTTGGGGAGGGTTTAGTGAATGGGACTTGGGGAAGAGGAGTTAGGAATAGTTAGATAACTGTACAAAAAGGTGTTTAACTTTTACATATTTAGTTATTATTAGAATTACAAAGTATTAACCAGATCAATAAGGTAATCGGGTTAGTGATGTAACCGAACTTGGAGGTCACAGCCAGGGGTGGGGAAGAAGGGGATTTGTTCTATGAAGTTTGGATTTAGTCAAAAGGACACACTTGAGGCTGCAGGTTCCCCACCCCTGTGACATAGACTATCCTTGGCGTTACAAATGAAGAAACTGAAAACTAGAAATATTAAGTGAATTGCCTAGGGGCACACAAGTACTAAGGGGCACTGCCAATATATGAACAGAGGGTGCTGGGTTATCTCTATGTCTCCACGACAGCTTAAGAGGAAGTGGTGGGCGGTGGTAACTGCTTGGCAACATGTTTCTTTCCGTCTCTTCTTCAGGGTGACTTACTGCTTCAGCCTGGCTAGCTTGTCTGCCCCTTCAGTGGCTATTGTTTGGCAGACAGTGTTGATGGTGGTACAGATGGGGGACCCCTTCTTTACAAGGGCTACTTCCCCTGACGACAGCTATAGGAGTTGGGCTGGAAGCAGGGCTAGTACTTTGGAAGGTACTGCTCTTCCTGGGGCTATTGGGCTCAGGGTCCTAGGCTGTCTGCACTGCAGTTTGAGAGGAATTGTGATGAAAGCTAAAGATCAATATTCTGTTGATGCTAATATTACAATATACTCAAGCTCAAACACTAAGTAATGTCTCTAGCAAAGTGATCAATGTCATAAATTGGGATTGTGTTATTCAGTCATTAACTTTAGAATATATATGTCTATGCATGTATACATATATAGATATATAATGTGTATATACTATTGATACATATTTATAGTATATGCAAATATAAAGTGTGTATATACACGTTATATATCTGTATGCTTTATATAACATATATGCATATGTCACAAAAACATTTATATACACACAAACAGAAATACAAAGATAAACATACATATCAGAATCTACCTTTTATATATGATGGGTATATCCTTGTCTTAAAGAAACCTTTAGTTTACTAAAGTGAAGAATTAGGTTAATTCACAAGTTACAGATAAATAACTGATCTGCATTTGTGGAGGGAATTTCCACATTAGAAGTTTCGTACACCAATGAAATCACAGATCTAGAGAAAACTCCCAAAAGAGCGATCTTAAATATTATCCAAAGAGTGAGATTTTCACTTATATTGGGAACCCTATCAAAAATAATTTTGTAGTAGAAACAGTCTTGCTGGTCACATCCATTAAGAAGCGAAAGGTGGAATGGTCATTTTTTAAAAAGTCATTTCCAGTATATTCCAGTTTAAATTATTCCCTAATGGATTCATGTAGGAAAATTGGATATGAGAATCACACAAAAAAAACTTTCCAACTGATGCTTTTTTCCTGGCAATCTTCTGAGTTTAATATTTTTTAAAATAAAAGTTTTTAAAGCTACCTCTTCAAAGTATAGTTGACCTCTCAGGAAACGCGCCAGAGGATCTCCTTTTCTTATTCTTTCCTTCAGTAACTGTAATGCCTTTTCCACTAACTTCGTATGATTGTAATAATCTGATGAAAAAAGTTTTCAATGAATACTACCTTGTAATCTTACAGTATGACCCTATAAGTTCATAGGACCTATCTTTTGAAATTATACCATAACAGAGATACACCCCTCCCTCCTGACCCATTTTTTCCCCTGACTCTTTCCTGCTCTAGGCCACATTCTAAAACTGGCTTTTACACATATGAGAATATAGCACTGCAATATCTTAGTACATATTCAGCAGTACAAAAAGAGGAAACTGTCTCCTAGTCATCCTCTAGCATCCAGTATGGAGGGCTTTTTCTCTATCTAAGGAGGATTAAACTCTTTTTCAGTCACTAGGTCCCCAACACAAAGCCTCACCAATTCAAGAAAGCTAGTCTAGCTGCTATTTCTTAACCAGTTTGCTCATCCTTTATTTGACACTTTTGCTTTTACTGTTACATTGGCCTGGCATACTCCTCTTCCTCTTCCTGTCATTCAACCTAGCCAAATTCTACCAATCCTACAAAGTTGACTTTAAATCCTATCTCCTTGTTATATACCACCTTAACCCACAGAGATCTCTCTCTCTCTTGAACACTTTATACCATTGTCTCATTTGTCATTGATCAGCTACACACACACACACACACACACACACACACACACACACACAATTACACTCTTAACTTGATTTTAAACAGGATGAGGATTTGAGCTATTTTATGCATGGTTGTATCCCCTACATCACTGAAAGCAGCATCTTACAACATGTTCTAGGCTCTTAGTACATATCTGTTGAGCAATCTTAGAGGATATAAGTAGGGTGAAATCAGCTTCCTTTATCAGAGGCAACCAGTGGATCATTGCTCTCCTGGTTAAATTGAGTACTGAATGTGAACAGGATTGCATTACTTTGTGGTAATATTTAACTTTGCATACTTGAAGTTCTGACTCCTAGGCTGATGGAAAGATTCCAATATTGAAAAGGAGGAGATCCTGCCTATCAAACTAGCTATGTAGCCATGGACAAATCACTATCTCTCCTTGAAACTCAGCTTCTTTATCTGCAAAATGAAGGTACTGAACTGAATAAGTTCTAAGATCCTGTCCTGCTTTAATAGCCTCATTCTATGGTTCTACACATTTGCATCTTTTGAACACAGCAGGTAAATTAGTACTTGAATATAAATCAAAATACAGAATATTCTGATTCTGAACAAGAATTCTCTCTAGAATGTCTCAACAAGGGATCATCTAGCTTTCCCTTAAAGGCCTCTAGTGAGATGTCACACACTCTCTGCCTCCTGAGGCATCTTACTCCATTTTTGGATAGCTCTGTCAGAAAGTCTTCCCTTATTCCAAAAGAAAATCTTCCTCTATGAAACCTCCACCCATTGTTATTTCACTCAGTCTGCCTTCTGGGAAGCAGAGCAAATCTAACCTCACTTTCACACAGCAGCTAAATACTTGAAGATAGCTATTAGGTTTACTTCTCTCCACTTCCCTCCAACTCTAATCTGATCATCTGCAGGCTAAACATCCTGGGTCCTTTCAGCCGAGGCTGTGGCTTGACCTTAAGGCCCTTTGCCATCTTGCCTGCCCTTAGCTCCGTGCTCTACAGCTTATGTATAGTCTTAAAATGGGTACCCAGAACTGAATACACCACTTTAGCAGTGGCAGAATGAGGGCATGACCATCATCTTCTTCATCCTGGACTCTACTCTTTGCCACGCAGCAGTCCTAGAGGCCATGCCTCACAGCTGCCTTCCTTATACTGAGCTCAGAGGCCACTGAAGCTCCTAGCACTTTTTCATGGGTATGCTACAAAACCAGGGTTACCTCACCTTGTACCTGTGAAGTTAATTATTTTTTGAACCTACACATAATAGAACTTGGCTTTTTATCACTATTGAATACTACTTTTTTAGATTTGGTCCAATAGTTTAACTCATCAAGATCATTTAAAATTTTAGTTTCTTGTTTTAATTAACAAGGATTTATTTTCTTTCCCTTCCCCCTTACCCTACTGGGGGAAAAAGAAAACCAAAACTCTTTTAACAAATAAATATAATCAAGCAAAACAAATTCCCACACTGGCCATGTTCAAAAATGCATATATAAAGATCTTTTTTGGATCAAGACCCTGAAATAGATCATCTGCAGATCTGATGAGCTCAAGCTATTTATGACCTTCCTCCAACAAAAATGTTAAAGGGTGAAAAGGCAAGATCACTAGAGACTTCTTCCAAAATGACGTTGATGAATTAATGACTACTCTTTGGGTCTGGTCATTCAACCAGGTTTGAAATCTGATGAAGATCATCTAATTCATGCTTTTTATTTTTTTATCCACAGGGACAGTATGAGACCTTGTAAATTATTAATAACACTGCAATGTGACTAACTGAGGTTAGCCATGCAATCTCTCCCTAAAGAATAGGGTTTTATTCTGTTTCTCATCTTGCGTTGGATTAAACTGTCGTGTGTAGGACTAAAACATAAATATTGTACTCCAAAATCTTCTAATGAGCTAACCTTTCTGCAAAATATGTAAAATTTAAAAAAAATGTCTCCAGGAAACACAAACAAATAAACTTGCAGCTTTAAATATTAATCCCAAATAAATTCTATGTAAGGAAACTTTGACTCTTCTTACCTTAGAGAGTGGCACCCTGAACTTCAGGGATGATTTAATAACAGAACTAGAAACTCTACTAAACATAAATTGAGTGCAGGTCTCAAAGGATTATAAATTCTAAACTTCTGTCTTGTGGGTAAGCTGGGAAAGAGCACTATAAGATAACTATAAAATAAAAAACTCCTCATATTTATGTACTGTTTCAAGATTTACATGTCAAGCACTTTCTTTTTAACAACCCTGTGAGGTAGAGCGTATTAATAATTATTAATAGGGAAGCTGACGCTCAGTAATTTAGCCCTCAGACACAGCACTAATACCTTGAAAAGAGGAAGAAACTTCATATATCTCTTGATGGTATTATTCAGTCATGAAACTTTAGAAAGCCACTTTTAAAGGAGGACTGGTAACAGAACTTGTACCTTGCTTATCTTTTTCCCATGTGGTTAACTTCCCAGTGTTGGCAGCACAGTGGAATGTAGCATTCTGGGGACCCACAGGCAGTTTTTCACTGATTAACTTCATTCTGTTTCTTCAATGTGTAGTCTGTAAATAACAAACACAGACAAAATGAGTATCAGACGTCTTCTAGATGGATGAAAAAATAACCCCATTCCCCGCTATCATCTGTCACAAAGATCCCCCTAAGCCTCCCCCCACAACAATCTTACCATTTAGGTCAATGGGCCTATAGCTATCAACACAAGAGGGAACGTAAAGGGAAAGAGACAACTCACAAAATCAATACCATCTGTGTTATTTTGCATCTGCAAGGACTCAGGTGTGATCTAGCTGTTAGTTCACAAATTCACACACTGATATGATTTATGCTACCCACGCCTCACCTGTTCAGGCTGCTGGGTCCTGCTGACTTCACCCATAGCCGGAATTCTTCTGCAACAGAACCTTCCAGTTGCCTAGTGATCAAAAAACAGCTTTATGATACGCAGCTCATTGGAATGAGCTAAATAAGATCTGTCCTATTCTACTCCAGACTGTAGCTTTTTGTCTATCTTAGCTCAGCACACACTGTCTAGCTTTTTTTTTTCCTTTTCTTGGTCTTTAAAGTGCTATGGTCTAAAACTAACCAGAGTTGCTCCGAAAAGAATGAGGCCACTCAACTTTGGACATTTGGAACAGGCTACTCTGAGGTTTAAAGACATGGAAAAGCAAACCAAACAGCAGTTACGCTTTTCCCTCACATACTAGTTTCTCCTGAACTCCACTGTTAAAACTCATTCTCATCAACATGGGACAATATCTGATTGGCAGGAAAGATCTATGTGACTATGACACCGGCTCTTTTAGATGATGAAATGTCTGACTGTTAGGCTAAACTGCAGGAAGAGGGGGCAGGGTGACAAACTGAAAAGCACATTGCAGGTCTGAGTTTTAGGCCTGCCTCCTTTACAACTTTACAGTAAAATGCTGTGGTTGAGTAGATGACAGACTCTAAGGCTATAAGAGGCAGTCAGATGGCATGATGGGAAAAGTGCCGGACTGGGAGTCAGAAGATTTGAATTCAAATCCAGCCTCACATACTTACTAGCTGTGTGACCCTGGGCAAATCACTTAATCTCTCTGTGCTTCCCTAATCTGTAAAATGGGGATAAAAAACCCTAGGGTTGTTGTGAGGTTAAAATAACAACATTTGCAAAGCACTTTGCGACCCTAAAGTGCTATGAGAGGCTAGCAATTATCATTAGGTTCCAGTTCTAAGACGCTGTGATTGGTTCTAAGGTCTCAGCTCCATAGCATCATGCCCAGCTGGCAACCACTGCCACTTCACTTCTACCTGCTCTGGAATAATGGTAGTGGTAGAAGTTCATCCTGGCCTTTCTCAGACAAGTCTTACCTCATCGCAGACTCCTGATTTTGGCAGCAGTTGGCTAACACAAGTCTACCCTTTGAGGACTGCCACCTCACAAAAGTACACATACCCTAGCAAAGCCCCACAACAGTAACAGCACCCCACTCTCTAGGGACCACAAATAACTGAGTGACCTGAACCAACACCCAGCATGCTGAGTTAATGACCAAAGCCCCTGATTTGGGTCAAAACACATGAAATGCACAAAATGGAAGGGGAGGAGGAGATGGATCTTGTACAGCTACAGGGGAAGCATCACTGACGTCTTATATTCCTGTTTGATGGTCACTGGGCAATGCAGTTTGGGCTCAGTATCCCTGTACACCTGATTAAGTATTTACTATGTGCCAAGCACTGTGTTAAGGACTAGGAATACAAATAAAAAACAAAGATAGCCACTGTCTTCAAGAAGTTTACATTCTGATGGGAAAAACAAAGGGAACAGTTCATAAATTGGTATATTATCTTTTAAAATTTAAATTTAAAAATCAAAAATTTAAATTTAATAAAAATAAAAATCTCTATTTTATTATAATATATTTTATATATAGATAGATAATCTCTATTTTATTAAAAGCATGGTAAATTCTAGATTTTATTTCCTTACATATTGACTAGAGGGTATGGGAAAGTTCACCGAAAGCCAAAGGGTGTGGGAACCTCTGACCTAGAATGTCTTTCTCAACCTCTGCCTTTTGATACTAACCATACTATATAGCCTAACTCAAATGCCACCTCCAGAAAGCCTTCCCTCATTCCCCTTCCAGGCAGTAATGACCAATTTCACCTCAGATCTCACCCAGCAATTTGCCAGTACCTTTCTAATATATTTATCATGCATTAATGTTATGAGTATGTATCTTATCTACTTACTTAGAATGTATGCTCTAAGGCTGCAGAGAGCGTGTTGGATGTAAACTATGCACTTTCCCCCATAACTAGCAGTTGAGTTATTTCAGTCACACCCAATTCTTCATAACCCCATTTGGGATTTTCTTGGCAAAGATACTGGAGTTGTTTGCCATTTCCTTCTCCAGCTCATTTTACAGATAAGGAACTGAGGCAAATGGGGTTAAGTGACCTGCCCTGTGTCACACAGCTAGTTTCTGAGGCCAATTTTGAACTCAGGAAGATGAGTTCTATGGCATGGCATCTATCCACTGTGCCACCTACCTACTTCTTTTGCACAGAAAGTACTTAATATATTTATTGAACTGAAATTCATTCTGCTTTCCCAAAATAATCACTGCTCTGCCTTGCTCTACACTCTTACCCCTCTTTAAAAATGAAAATTAGGTTTTCATCTCCAGTTTTTCTAAAACATGGCTTCCATGGACACAAAAATATCACAGGCATTTGAATGACTGTTTTTTTGATTGAAGCTGAGAATTATTATTAATGATTTTATACAAAAGACTCTCAAAGAAGTGCTTTAATAACAATTTTGTATAAATGGTTTAGCTTTTGAGGTGTTCACTATTAATTTGCATCTCAGAAAAATGTTAGGCTATTCACTAGATTTTTACTAGAAACCTTTGACAATTCGTGCCTCTGATTCTTTTCCTTTTTTTTTTAACTCTCTTCAGTCTTGCTCCTGACCTCATAGTCCAACTGAATATGACTTCATCTTTCAACTAGAACTGCTCTCTCCAAAGTTACCAGATTTCTCAATCACTACTCCTCATCCTTCTTGACCTTCCTGCATACTTTGACACTTATGTAATTTTCTTCTCCCTTATACCCTCTTTTCTTAAGTAATTGTGACATTGCTCTCTCCCGGTTCTCTTCCTACCTGTCTGACCACTCCTCAGTCTTCCTTGCTGAATCTTCACCCAAAACACAACTGCTAACCAAGGGGAAAACCCCAAAATTCTGTCCTGTGCCTTCTTCTCTCTTCCTCAGTACTACTGTACTTGGTGATCTCATCAGCTCCCACTGAATCATCATGCCATGCTGATAATTCTCAGATCTACTTATTCAGGCCTAACCTCTCTGCTAGGGCTGCTAGATAGCACATCACATAGAGTACCAGGTTTTGAGTCTGGAAGACTCCTTTTCCTGAGTTCAAATCTGACCTCAGATGCTTACTAGCTCTGTGTCCTTGGGCAAATCACTTCACCCTGTTTGCCTCAGTTTCCTCATCTGCAAAATGAGCTGGAAAAGGAAATGGCAAACCACTCCTGTCTTTGCCAAAAAAACCCCAAACAGGGTCATGAGGGGTCAGACACAACTGAAATGACAGAACAAAAAGCACCTACAACATACCAGGCACCGTGCTAAACATGAAGAATGAATGTAAAAGATAGTCCCTGCCCTCGAAGACCTTCCAATCTAATGAGTTCACTAGGCCACCTGATCTCTGGGGTCCCTCCCGCCTCAAAATCACTGGAGTAATGAATTAAACTTCCAAACTTCTCCTCCTTGGCCTACGCCCTCATTCAGGTAATGCTAGGCCACAGTCCTCGGTGGGGTACACGTGCAGATAGACACCCGCCTTGTGCTCGCCCAGCCTCCAGCACAGTCATCACCTCGTACAGGTGAGTCACAACAGCTGGCTGTTCCAGGCCCTGCTCCTCAGGTCCTTCGGGGCCATGACACGCCGCAGCTCCCGGGAGATCTGGTCCCGGCCACTCCCCGCCCACTCTTCGGGGAGCCAGGTGTGGGGTTGCTCGCCCAGCGGCCCCTCACCGTTTCCTGCTTACGTGCAGGCAAGCAGGAACACAAAGCCAGTGACCTCCAACCCCTCCTCAGGCCGGACAAGCGGCTGTGGACGTGCCGGGCCGCGCGGCACCTCCTGGCAGCCTCTGCCCCCGGGCCTCCCGCCCCGCCCCGCCCCGCCCCGCCCCGCCCCGCCCCGCCCCGCCCCGCCCCGCCCCGCCCGCTGGGCCTCCCGCCCCGCCCCGCCCCCTTCCCTCATCGCGCCTGCGCGATTCGCGGGGCTCTCCGTTCCAGACTTCCCCGCCCCCTAAGCCTCAGCCAATCAGCTCCAAGGACTTCCCCCCTGGTTTCTTCCCTCCCCCCCAACCCCACCCCGGGCTCTGGCTCCACGTGGTGATGTTTGTGTACGTGCTGCCCGAGACTAGAACCCCGAGGTCTTTAGTGGGGCAGTGGGCGGGCAAGGAGAGGAGGGGGGGTAGGAGGAGAGCGAGAGGATGGAAGAGGCGGGGGTTTGGGGAAGGAGGATGGAAGAGGAAAAAGGAGAGGAGAAAAAGGAGAAGGAAAGAGAAAAGAGAAAGGGGGAGGAGAAAGAAGGGGAAAAGAGGAACAGGAGAAGTCAGAGGAGGGAGAAAGGAATAACTGGAGGAGGAAGAGAAGGGGGACAGAGACGGGGAGGGTCGCGAGGACGGGGCGATCCTGGGGGCTGGGGAAGCCCTGGAGCTGCGCTGACTTCGGAGCTCCGGGCAGGGCCACGGCTACTTTTTGCTTGTATTAGCGCACGGGGCGATGCTGCTGCTGGACAGCGGGGCCGAGGTGCGTCTGTCCGTCTGGGGCTGGGGGAGGAGGGCGCCCAGTAGAGGGGCTCCTTACCCGGCTGATCCCTTTAACCTCCCTAATGCCTGCCTCCTCAGGTGGACAGCCTGAAGCGTTTGCTGGAGCCGGGCGGCGCGGTGAATGCCCCACGAGACGCCTGCGGTCAGTCTCCAGCGCACCTGGCTGCCCAGGCGGGACATCCCTTCTTTCTGCTCTGGCAGCTGCAGGCAGGGGCTGACCTCAACCAACAGGTAACTAGGTAACTGGAGGAGGGTTGGGCTGCACAGACACCACAATGTCGGTTACAAAACCCAGGTCTTTTTCAACGTGTATTGCAATTTTCAATTGGTGTATTGCAAAGAACATTGTACTCACCTGGGAGATTTCGATTCTTGAGGTTGGCTCCGATCGTGCTATGTTACTTAACTTCTCTGGGTCTCCATTTCCTCATTTGATCAATTCGAAGAGAGGGCAGGTTATAACAGCATGTGGGCAGTAAGAATCCACAAAGATCTACCTTCATATTCTGCGTCTGACACTTTGACTTAGCTTTTCGGTATCCAGAGAAGTTGGTGATGAGTGTGTCCATGCTAGGACCAGGAAAATGGGTTGAGGAAGTTGAATTAAATGATCAGGTCCTCTCCAACTCCAAAATGCTCCAAATATAAAAGATTCACCCTCATCTTGATCAGATAACTAAAACTGGAAGAGATATGGGAAGCCACTGAAATCCAACTTGAGGAAAACTGAGACCCTGGCGGTGGGATTTGAAGATGGGTCCTTAGACAACCGGAGCCAGTGGCTTTTTGCTGTGCTGTTCTCACTCTGTGAGGGCCCTGGTAGCATTACTACTATTATTACTTTCTTCTAAAGTTATGGAGAGATTTTCCAAAAACTGTTTCAGCTGTTTACCTGCAATTCATTTCCACCGAAGATAATAAAATTAAGTTACCTTTCGATCTTTTAAAATTGTAATTGCCCCGTAGGATAAGTTCTAGCTTGTATCTGATTTGCTTATCTCCAACAAGAAGAATGTAGAATGAACTTTTTCTACTCTTTACATTAATCATACTAGTAATGTGTATGGAGATATCCATATCTACCCAAAAGGTGCCTATGGGATAAAGTCCTTCTGTACGTATTTGGCAAAAGGCCAGTTATGTCCAAATGCAAAAATCAGTGTTGTCAGACTCAGAGAAGCTAATCTGTACTTGGGCCATATGTTAACTTAGTTTTAAAATATACTATTAACTATGTTTTATTGTAATTTTAAGTTTATTTTGCTAAATATCTCAGTTACATTTTAATCTGGTTCAGACTGCACTCAGGAATGTTTTGACACCTCTGCTATAAATCATGAAACTGGGAAAAAATTACTGTGGCAAGCAACCAGAACAGTATGGTTCTCATATCTCAAATCATTTAGACTCACCTCATTGCCTTCCAGTGAGAAAGCTGCTGGGAGGAGAGGTTCTTGTGTGGAGAATCTAAATTTCTCTTCCTGTTTTTAATCAGGATGCTTTTGGAGAAGCTCCAATACACAAGGCAGCTAAAGTTGGTAGCTTGGAATGCCTCAGTCTGCTTGTAGCCAGCAATGCCCTAATTGAGTAAGTAATGAAACCATCTAAAATGGGTTTGGTACGCCACAGTTTCAAGAGTGCTTTTATATAAATTATTTCATGTAATTCCTTTAACTCAGTAAAGCAGAAAATCAAATAACTGCTTCAGTTTTGCCCGTTCCTTGGAAACACCAGGAATAGGAAGGTAGAGTCAGGGGTATAGAGTTCATTAGCATCTAATGCTTTATTAGTTCGCTGCACAGAAATGTTAGACTTGATTTACTTGTTAACTTGATATAGTTCCATCTACTCACGTTTCTGTCACTCTGACATTCTGAATCAGAATGCTCTACAATTACAGCCATTTTATGTCGATAACTACAGAAATGTTCTCCTTCAGTTTTGGCAGAAGAAAACCCATTTCATTTTCATTATGTTTAAAATCTCACTGTAGAACTTGCTTATTTTAGGAAACAAAGAAAACCTTGTGTAGAAGTTATTTTCTCTTTAAAATGTTGGCTTCTGGACTTGAATACCTCTTCCTGCCCTGTTTTCATCCCACAACAACTTTTTTCCTGGCAGAGTCAAATTAGTTTGATAACAACGGCCTTTTTGGTGATCATCATAATAAATGTTAAGTGATAACAAGAAAATCAGAAAAAAAAATACAAAGAGAGATCAGAAGAAGACACATCAAGTAAAAAAGACTTTATTTTCTTAAATTTTTAATATACATTTAATAACATAAATAATTTTGAGTTTGTCTTATGTACAATCATTCTTTCCTTTTTGGGTGATGGAGGGAGTACATACATTGACAAAATTAGATGCCTTTTGAAATATTGTTTATTTGGATGTTTTTGTTGATGGGCTTACTAACATAGAATAAAAAAAAGTCTTTTTTAAAAGTTTAAATTTTAGAACTAGAAATTCATTTTTATTTAATTGTTCTCCGATTTTGTGATTAAATTACAGCTTACGTAATAAGAATGGGCAGACTGCAGAAGATTTGGCATGGTCTTGTGGATTTCTGGAATGTGCCAAATTTCTCACAACAGTTAAACATACACAGAGTATGAAATTAAGTGAACAGTCCAAATGTTCGTTCAACACTGACAACTGTGGTTTACTGCCGAAAAATAAAAGAGCTTACAGAAATGTGGACAACTCAAATGGGAAGAAGCAACGATCAGATGGTAGGTCGTATGTCGATGCCACCCCCATAGTGAAGATTTCTGTATAAATAATAGAACTAAGCTTGTTATAATACTAAAATCTCATTCATATTTAATAATTCAGCAAGGCTCAATCTGTCTTTAGTTTTGAACCGCTAATAATATTATATTCCCGTTAGAATACTTTTCAAACTTAATGTATTCTCATGATGATAACCTCATTTTTACTTTCAAGTTGGCAACTGTGATGCATAAGTTTGTATATCTGCTAAAGGAGGAAAGTGTTCGCAAAACTGTTCCTGAAGTGGTTAAGTGTGTGGGTAAATAAGATGTTTTTCACCCCCACCCTCTCAGCAGTGCTGGGACTGATGCCTCTGCCAAGACTCACCCCAGGCATGTGCTTTTCACGAGGAATGAAAAGTTCAACCAAGTCCCTGAAAGGGAGATTAGAGATGGCAGGTGTTGTCCCTCTCCCCCTCTTTTTTTTTTTTTTAAACCTTCAGGTTCTTCTGACATTGCTGGCTCTCCCTGTTTCTCCTCTCCCCTGCATTTTATGGGTTATTTCATTGTTACTGTGTTAGGAAAAGTGCATAACATCAGAATTAATTTTGTAAAATAAAGAATTGTATACAGAAAAGTGTATTTTCAGCAATATCTAGCAAAAGATTACAGTTTTTGTAGTCGAGGGAACCTCACCTCATTTCCCCTAAGCTCAACGTATCAACATTCTTGTTTTTGACTATCATGCTATTTTCTAGGAACGTTGAGGATTGACTGTATTTAGATTCTGATTGTAACTAGTGGCTGTTTAGGGTAATAGTTACCTAAGTTTAATTAGTCTTAGAGTATTTTTCTTAATTACAAATTAGTAATGATTTCCAGAGGGAAAAATCAAAAAGTATTTGTAAATAGTTATCCAAACATATTTAGAATTGTGTAGTGGTTTGTTATATATCACACAAACTAATTTGTACTTGCAGCATTCAATATTTCCCTCACTGTAAAGGTGCCAGTGGAAAATGTCATAAAGGAAATAGCTTTTGCTGCTTTTTTTTTTTTTAAATAGCTCATTTGTGCTAGAGTGGGAAGCTGACTGCAAAGAAGTTTGGAGCAGACCTTCAGATTGATGATCTTTTTCTGGGTCACAAGCTACCGGACTGATCTATAAAATGTTCTCATCTTCTTCTAAGAAGGAGCAAGAGATACTAAAACTTTCTTCGGAGTGAAGATCATTTTTAAGAATACATGTATTCACATAGTTTTGGTATGCTGCATTTGGTTGTATGCGTTCCAACTTTATATCTTTAACTTAAACTAAATACAGGTATTTTTTGGGGGTGTTTTTTTAAACACTTTATAAATACTCTAACGATAATGAAGAAAAATCAGTTTTAATCATTCTTCAATTATTGTAGCATTGACACACTATTGTTAACCAGAGTAACCTGCACATAGTATGTGCTTGATAACTAAATGGCTACATTTGAAATAGCTATCATGTACATGTCTTTCTTTTTTATATGAAGTTTGTACTTTATTTTTATGTAACTATCATGCACCCTACACTGTTACAAATAGTGGTTCTACTCATATTCTTCAAATAGTCTTTGGTCGCTGAGGAAGGCAGAGATTATAGTAGGCATCCTTTTTCCAAAAATCTGCACCTTTCCATCCACACGAACCCTAGACAAAAGGATAAAAAAACAAACTTGGTCACACTGTCTAGTGCCAGTACCTCCTCCTACCCTCCCAATCCCAGGATACATCCAAATGTTCATGGATTACCATCATCAACAAACATTATGACCTTCTACTCTGGGTAATGATTTCCTAAATTTCATTAAGGTCTTAGAGTATTTTTCTTAATTACAAAATAATTTCCAGAGGACATAAAATATATTAATAACTAATCATCCAAACATATTTAGAATTTTATAGTGGTTTGTTATATATTGAGCTAATAAGTACTTGCAGACAGTGTTCAATATTTACCTCACCCTCATTTACTGGTACCATGACTAAGTTGACCTATTTCTTCCACCAGCAAACTAAGACTAGTATTTGCAGCAAAGAGTATTCCTCACAGACATGATTCTAGGCAAACACTTTTTTTGTATGTCTGCTGCCTGATTTTTAAAAAAGAGGCCCTCAGTAGTTAATATTCATTATTTTCTTATTCAGTTAAATTGTTTTATTCAGGAAAAAAATAACTCTCAGTCTAATTGGATAGTACGTAGGTTCTGGTCCTTTACTTCTAACAGTGGTCATCCCACGGAGCATGTGTGGGAACAGGTCTGCACCCAGAACCCTCTTTACTTACTAGGCAGATGTTAAGTGTAAAAGTGAGTAATGATCTTATCCCTTACTCTAATAGACATTTTAACCTTAAAACTAAAATTGAGTTTTTTGCAGAAATTAAAATATAAATCCTCTTTTCTACACAAGGCAAGATAGATTTTAAATAGTTACCTTTAACCCTGAAACAAAATTTAATCATCTTTTCTTCCAACATAACCCATCTTTATGTTTTCCAAACAGTTTAAAAGGCTTATGTTATAGGTATGTAATTCTTTTAGGATCTCATCATCCTACACAGAATTCTAGTGGCCAATTACAAAAACATGAGTGCCATGATCCCAAGATTCTCTTCTTGGGTTGACTGGCCTGTGCCATGGACTCAGAAAAGTCCACATAAAGAGGAAAAAAAATGGTCCCATGAATCCAGTGGACCAGAATAATATGTCATTTTGAGGTCATGTTTTGCCACTTAGCTGTGTGACCTTGAACAAATAATTGCCCTGACCCTCACAGGACTCATCACAGAACAAAATGAGTCAATATGTTCAAAGCACTGATATACTGTAAAGCCACTAGAGAGATGCTAAATGTTATTTACTATTAATATTAGTATCTAGAACAGTCCTTTCCTATAGGTCCCATGCAACAAGTGGTATAGGTTGCTGCATCATTGGTACTTAAATTTTAGTTGTCCTCTGCATTTTTCTTTTCCTCATAAAACCATCCTGGAAGGTCTTTCCTTCATAATAACCTCATAATAACCCAGACAACTCCATAGCACCTGCCATCATACATAGGGACTTCCTATTAACTAACTCTGGGTAAATCAGGGAACATTCCATTTTCCTATGTTCATTTCTTCCTTCCCCTTTCACCACTTTGCACTCAAAGATCCCAAAGAACGGATCTGGAAGTAAAGGTAGCAGCTAACATCTTGTTCCCTAACAATCACCATCCTTGGATCCCTGAAAAGAAGGGTGCATCTCTGACACAGCAGTGATGGGGCTTGGCCTGTACAAAAAAGAAAAGCTTGGAAGCCAATTCTGGAGATACCACATCACCCCATTCTGGGAAACTGCCATACCATTATCCAGTTTGGACACAGCACCCTCATACTGCCATCTCCAGCCAGCACTAAAGAATTTCCTTGATTAAATATCTTTTGGACACCTAAAGCTCATGCCTACTTCCTTCTTTTCTCCTTAGTACAGGCACAAGGTTACTACACAATCACTTCTTTGGATAGGCTCTTGCCACCAAATTAAGGAACTGAAATGAGTAAGAGAGACTCGGGGGAGGGAACACTGAGATCTAACAGCTTCCAGCTCTCAATTCTGTAACAATCTGCATGATACTAATTTTTAATTCTTTAGAGGCTGTTGTATTCCTTATTTGTGGCCATAAAGCAACACTACCTGGCTGTTGGTATCAAAGAGATGGGCCTTTGCTTTCAAGGGAAATGAAATTTTGAGCTTGGCAGTTTGCCAAAGCCAACCCAGCCTGCATTCCTCTTCTTGTTCAATTCTGGGCCTGATTCACTGTCTATATTGTCTGTGTCAGGCAGATATAAATACAGGTGGACAAGCTCTCAAGTTTATACATCCTATAAATGAATTTTGTAATTTGGGCACAACCTAAAATATTTCTGAAAAATTCTAGCTAGTTTAATCTTCGAAATTTTTAAAGGACAGGATTTGGTAGCTTCTATTCATATCTATTACTGAGTCGAACAATCCAAGAAATTGTTCATAAATGTAGTCTAAATTTCTGTTTTTTTAACTGTTTTATTCCTTTGATATAAAAAACTCATATTTGAAGTTGGTCACCCCCAGCAGTGACATCAACAGCAGAAACATCAACTTTTAAAGCCCAATTTTTCTTAAATAACTTATTTTCTCTTGGCTCTAGATTCTCTGTAAGACTAAATTAATTCTAAGTAGATACCTAATTTCCATTTTATTTTGAAAAATTTTTAACACTTTTTTCTCCATTACTATCATTTCCTAATACCCAACTCCCCACGCCCAAATAGAATCTTCCCTTGAAACAAAGTAGGACAGTTGTATTAACCACATTTGACAGCACATGCTTCATTGCGCCTTTTAGTATGGAGGACGCTATGTTTCACCACAAGTCCTAGCCATCTGACTTCTGTTGCTTTAGAATTATCTTCATTTACAATACCTACCTTTTCCAAAATGACTTGCAGGTCCTCTGGTCCTGTGTAATGAGGATCTAGAATCAGGTATTTTACTTGCCCTGACATCTCATTCCATGCCACTCCTAGTATCGTATGAGCCAAGACCCCTCCACCTATAGAATAGGAAACATAGGATTTGAAATAAACTGAAAAATAAGTCTCAAACTTTACATTCAAACTAAAGAGTTGCTTTGTTTTCTAAGTTATCCAAAGCAGCTTTAAAGCACACAACCTACACTTTCAGACTACAGGAATATAGGCAGGCACACTTAGAAATGATATATTTACTTTTTAAAATTCAGAGCTAACTTGATGCTCTTCTATTTCTATCTTTAATTATTTTTGTTAACACAATTAAAGAATTTAGATGTGAAGGGGTCTTAAGTCATCTTGCCCAAACCACAACTTGCTCAGAAATCTTCCACAATATTTCTGACAAATGGTCAAGACCTGCTTAAATGTCTGTCTGCTGTAGTGCAACCTGTCCCACATTGAATGGCTCAGATGACTAGGCAGTCCTAGTCCTTTCTTAGGTTTGAGGTGTGTGTACGTACACACACACACACACACACACGGAGAGAGAGAGAGTATAAGGTATCTGTGATAACACTCATCTCTTGTTTATAGTTTTGCCTTCTGAAATAACACAGAACAAGTTTACTGCTATGTAACATCTTAAATATTTAAATACAGCTCTCATCTTTCCCCTTTAGTCTTCTTCGTGAAATTATCATTTTAACTGCAATCATTCTTCACACTGACATTTCTTTGCATCTAGGAAACAGATTTATGCCCTTACCTTTTCTCTCTGCTCCGTACAGCAATTGTAGGAAAAGAGGCTATTTTACTAGCTGAAACAGTAGAAGAATGAATGGATGTAGAGGATTATCTTGCTTTACACTCTGAATGTTGGGTAAGAAAGTTTGGGGAATTTACTGGCCTGTGAGGATGCTATGGTTGAGTCACATAACCATACATCCTCTTCACTACCAAAATACTATCATTATCAACCTACCCTTTCCCAGATGTTACACTTTCAACCACCCACCTATCAATACTCTCTAACCTAGTAGTACAGGAACCCATTCAACACATCTACACTCCTCTCTC